CTAGCTCGTAATCGATTTGCTGAGTTTCATTAATTTATTCCTTTTAGTCCGGGAGCTACGACGAAAAGGGTCTTTTTATTTTGCAACTTCAACGGTATGTATGGTCAAAATCGATTTCCAAGCAACTTTTTCAAATAAGAATTTGTTCTTTTTGCAGGAAAGCAATAGGCTGAGTTTAAGGCTGTCATTCGGGTTAATTATTGCAAAAAGTGCGGCCCATAAAGATCTATGCTTGTACCAAAAATCAAATATCTGCTTTAAAAAATGACTAAAATACAGGGGTGTGTCACATTGTATGTAATCCTGTATTGAAAAAATATTTCTTTTGGCGAAACTTTTATATGGCAAACAATAAAATGATTTCATCTGAAAAACCTTCAACACTCTTTACCCTTTTTATTGGAGACTATTTCAGCAAAGCCCCATTAATTGAAAACAATTTTTTATGCAAAACATTTTTTGTTAACTTCATTTCTTCATCTCAAACTCCTAATGGAAGCTCGAAGTAACACACACTGTATACCTTATTTGAGGACCTATCATCCCACCAATAGTGTTTGCGATTGAACAGTGGGTTTTGTTTGTATAGTGAATCAACGTATTGATCAATATTTATTTTCCATTTTTGTACCTTTATTATAGTTACTCCTTTTCTCTCAATTTGACTAAATCTTCAATTTATTGATGAGATTGTCACATTGTATGCCATTGAATCTTAAAAATGTTTTGCTATAGGTACTATAGCTTTTTCAGACTTCTAATGATTACATATTAAAAATAAATTAATCCCTTTGAAACTCATTGAAAACTCTTCTGTTAAAAAAATTTGTCGCACCCCTACGAACGACAACCCTCAGAAGTCGAAACTGGTGCGAGCTACAGACTGAGGTCTTACCTTATAACGTGTGATTCCTAACACGTATTATACTAAACAGTAACAATTGAACATTTTTGGAAATTTAAAAATATCAGAAAAAAAATACAGTCTAGGATACCATTTTATTTTTGAAAATGTTAATACTGAAAGAATAATTTCAGGCATTCATTATATTATTAACCTGAACTGTGCAACACACACATCTGAAATATTCAATACTTTGTTGTAAACTTGAAAATGTCAACTCCAAAATTCATCAAAAGCAACTATGTTTAAGGAACACAACTTCGAATGGCATTTGAAAAAATACAGCTCAAATATAATTTTCAGTTTAGTTTCGCGAAAATTGTGACGNACCGTGCTTTCGGGCTCTGTAATACAAATGAATATTTTGAATAGGTCTCATCAAAAATGACCTTCAACGAAATGGTTACTCCAAAGTGATCGTGGAACAGGCTTTAGCTAGAAGACAGCAAGAGCTCCACAAGGAAGAGAAGTCGCCACAACCAGTACTTGTACTTCCCCACATCAGTGGATTGTCGAAAAGGATAAGGATTGGGTACAAGTATAACATCAGAACCTGCTTCAGATCGAGGAACACTATCCGTAGCAGCCTCACAAAAACCAGGCCACCAAACGAGGACTGCGATTCCAAAATTTGCATTTACCGGATACCCTGCGAGTGCGGAGAATCATACATCGGTGAAACTAAGATGCCATTGAAAGTTTGCATTTCCGAGCATAAGAAACACACAGCGAGGAGAAACCAGCAAATTAGGAATAGCAGAGCACGTTTGGACTCATCAACATAACATCAAGCTGAAATCATCCACAAAGAAGAACACTGGTTTAGGAGAAAATTCAAAGAAGCTGCATATATGTTGTCCAACAACGCATTTAGCCATGCAAGCGTAGAGATACGCAACATATGGAAACCTCTAATCAAGCGGAACACGAACAACTCCCCCAAATGGTCAGCTTCCGCTGAAACTGATGAGGCGGAGAGAGGGAAGAGGGGATAGGTGAAAACACTCGAATGACCTATAAATAGTCAGATCTCGAAGGAATAAGTCCAGTTATGACCCGAAGACGATTGTGAATACTAACAATCGAAACGTCGTGATGTAACTTGTCTTGGAATCTCTTAATTTTTTTATTTTAATTTCTTGTTAGTAATTTTTTAATTTTCATCTCGTGTTATTAGTTTTTTTATTTTTTGGTTGTTGCTTGTATTTTATTTCATTGTAATTTCAGTTTTTTTGCTTAATATAATTGTTATTTTTCAGCTAATCTCTTTCTTAATTTTTCACAGATTATTTAAGGTATTTCGAATCAATTCATATCATATTAGACAATGGAAGTCTGAACTAATGAAATGCACCAAGAACTATCTTCAAGTGTTCGTAATCCGTTGGGGTATTTTGGTTCGCATAGAAGAACTATAAACTAGAATTTAAGAAGACAAATTCTAAATTTCCTCTTCCTAATTAACTTATCTACAATGTTTGAGGGATACGTATTGATAGCTTTCTTCTCGATATCTTATCATTATTTGTTTGCTCAAGAAAAACGGGGCCAGCCTATGGACAAGGAAATGTACTCCCGCCATTCTGTATTGTGGGCGATGGTGAGATGAACCTGAAAGTGCCAGTTTCCTTCTAAACCCTTATTGGCATTTCTTAAAACTAAAACATCCAAGAACGGCAACTTTTCGTTATTTTCAATTTCATATTTGAACATTCTAGGCGTTTTCTGGCGCTCTATTCAAAACGTATTCGTCTGTGATTGAAATACATTAATTCTGGCGTTGAAACGATGACGTCACATCAACTATTATTTGAAACGTATTCATGATGATTCAAAATTAGCGTGAGTTTCTGCTTTATTTTGATTGTTATAGTTTATAAAGTGCTGAAAACTTTTCATCAAATACGTTGTCAAGATGTACAAAATAAAGCTGGAAAATTATTGCTTACACAAATCCGATTCTAATTGAGGTTAGAGAAAATTGAAAAGTTTGTTTTCATTATTGAATTCGACATTTGGCACAAATACACTCTCGAATACAATTAAACGCCAGAAAACACCTTATATTTGGGAATCTGTTGTTGTGACAAGTCACGAAATCCTCTAAAAACAGGTAGCAAACTGAAAATAATTCTATCTCAAGTGAATCATTTGATCATACACAATAATAGTTAACATCAGTGAATGTTTTGAATTCAGGTTCTATCTCTTATCAAAGAATATTGTTGGGGGACTAAAAATTTTAAATAACTTTACGAGTATAAATCACTTGACTATTCACTGATTTAAATTTGTATTAAAACATATTTTGGTGTTGGGTGCTAGTTTGTTTTTACTCGAGAGTCTTTTTGAATCGAATCAGATATAGAAAAAAGTAAAATAACACCCATACTGTTGTAATATAACAACAAAATGTTCGTTACTACAGGAATATAACCCCAACCAGTGATATGTTCCGATATTCAAAAGTATCTTGTTAGTTAATTCACTCGTCCATTATGTCCATTTTATACTACCTTCACAGTTATAAAGTTTTAAAATTTTAGCCAAATTTTTTGACCATCATTACTAAAATACTCACATAGTAGTCAGCAAATCTGGAGTACAACGTTCCAATGTCGAAGTACAATCTCTGGTCTACCAGAGCTCTCTTCTTGGGATCCTTAGGATAAAGGCTGTCATCTTTGCCATACTGTTCCTGCAGATAGGTCATAATAGCCCTGCTTTCCCAAAGGGCGAAACCATTGTCGTTCAATGTTGGTATTGTATGTTGAGGATTTATCTGCACATAAAGATATGATGTTGAATATACTCTGTTATCCAAAAAAAAATCTATTACATCAAATAAGATACTGCCATTGTCGCAATCGCATTGTCATTGGAAAAAAGGAAAATTCAGAAATATTCAAGAATCGACAAATATTTCTTTTTACTTTTTTGTTGTAGGAGCATAAGACATATACGAAGGGGACAAATGTCCTCTTCGAAAGATATATAAATAAATAAAAATCGGGAAAAAGGTTTAAACAGATTTTTGTGTGACTCGAGAAAAATAAAAGATATTAGTTTATTTGTAATTGACTGTGTCCCACATACTGGTTTCAATCTTGCAGTGTGCCAGAAATACTAATTTGAGGCTTCAATAAAATGAAATGGTCAATAAGACAGTCGGGCTGCATTTGGGTTTCTGGTATAACCAAAAATGTAATGCCGTGAAAAACTAAGGAATGGCGGGTAGGAATAGATGGACTCTATGAGTATAATAGGTGGGTTGAAAGGTTCTTATGCTAACACAGAAATGGCGCTACTAGTAATAAATCCATATGACTTTTAGTTAACCCTAACCTTCAAGAGCCACGTGCATACAGGGGTAGAACATTTTGAGTGAAGCAACTTTTGTTAGTTTGAAGAAAATGGATTAAAAGTAATTTCGTGTGTCAATAAAGCATTGCTTTTTGGCAAAAAAACAATACCGTTGAAATCAAGGGTTGGCTTGATTAACATTATTCGGACTTTGTACTAGAAAAATTGCACCGTTGAGAAGTGGTTTGTTAAGTTTAAATGGGGTGAAATGAGCACCGAGGATAATGCACGCAGTGGACGCCCCAAAGAGACCATTACCGACGGAAACATCGAAAAAGTCCTCAAAATAATTTTGGTTGACCGCAAAGTGAAGTTGATCGATATAGCTAAGGGATCTGAAGGTATCAAAGGAACGTGTTGGACGTATCGTGCATGAATATTTGGGTATGCGAAAGATATGTTCAAAATGGGTGCCAAGAGAGCTCACTATCGACTAAAGACAATGACAAATTGAAGTGTTTGAAGCTTTTCCACTATAGAAGAACCGAATTTATGCATCGATATGTGACAATGGAAGAAAAATGGCTCCATAATTTCACACCAGAATCTAAACGATCATCATCTGAGTGGACTGCACGTGGTGAGTCGTCTCCAAAGCGTGCAAAGACGCAACAGTTGGCTGGCAAGGTTATTGTATGGGCATTTTAGCATGTGGATGGTATAATATTCATCGACTATTTCGAAAAGGGAAAAATTATCAACAGCAGGTATTACATAGCATTATTTGAGCGTTTGAAGAAAGAAATTGCAGACAAACGAGCCTGTTTGAAGAAAAAGAAAGTGATGTTTCATCAAGACAATGCACTATGTCACAAACCAATGAAAATGATGGCAAAATAGCATAAATTGGGCTTCGAATTGCTTCCGCATCCACCGTATTCTCCAGATCTGGCCCTCAGCGACTTTTTTCCTACTCTCAGACGTTAAGAGAATTCTCGCTGGTAAGTATTTAGCGCCGATGAAGAGGTAATCGTCGAAAAACAAATGGTATCGAAACATTGTATTACCGCTATAATTGTTGTATTGTCTGCGAAGGTAATAAAATAGAATTTTATCGAAACAATTTATCTCTATGTTAGCCTACGAAATTTTTAGCCCAATTGTTTCTAAGTGACCGAACACTTGGGCCAAATCAACAATGGATAAATAAGGATCACAAAAAGTTAATATATACCCGGAAACACGCACGAAAAACCTTTGTAAGGCGACCTAGAAGACGAATGAGATTTGCTTCAACAAACCTACTCACTGAACTTCATCCATTTAATGCATAGCTGAAGGAAATACAGCTGTAAACCGGACTCCTCAGCTACAGGCAATAAACTAAAGGGACACAGGCAGCTCGTCATGCTTTTGATGGATTTGGTTTATGGGCAACCCAATAATATGTCCAGATGAAAATGACAAACAACATCGTGTACCTTATCGATCCTGTTTTATGTAGCCAGCTCCCCGACTATATGTAATAGAAATATTACTTGAAATGTTTTAAGAATGAAATTATAGGACGTCGATAAATTCAGACTGTAATGATTCGCAAATTAAATTATATTTTTGTTTCTATGGGCCAACATCCGTTAGTGGTTTTCAGGATGAAAGTGGTGAATTTTTTGTTTTGACTTCATTTTCTGAACGAGTAGAGAGTGTGGTTGTCGACATAGCAGATTTATTAACAAAGTTGATCCAGTGAGTTTTTGGGAATGAGGATGCGTTGCATGTGACGCTTATAAGAGGTGTCAGAAATAGTGGTTTGGACTTTGTTTATCACAACCAGAAGAATGGTTTGACTTTAGTAATGCTTTCGATACAATAGTTGAAGGTGTACAATTCAATTGTATCCATATATTTTACTATACAACAAGCAGGATAGCTCATACTATAATTCCGAAATAGTAGGTACTAAATTCTCATGAATGAAACACGTTGTCCTTTATTCTATGACCATTTAGCTGCGTGTGTATGATTTTAATAGAAGATGATGAAATATATAGTCACAACCTGACCACAATGTTTATGTTTTAATGCAATACTATTTTTGAGAATTCAGTGCCTATTATGGAATGGAATGTTAGTGTAGATAGAGAACGCTTGGTGCTGTAACTTTCTTTCAAGGTTTTGTCAGCAACGATTGTCCTTTTGGAATTATTCTCTTTTCATGATGTTGAATAAAAAGTCAATCAACTTCTCCGACTAACAAATAAACTTGGTAGCAGTGTTGCCACTTGTAATATAATTATCGAATTGTAACATATTTTTCCTCAAAATTAATTCAAACGATAATGTGTAGCATAATCGATATTTGTAACATAATTTTTTAGTCTTGTTATATTTCAACTTTGCAGGTTTTATTCTTACTGTACCAATAAAAAAAAATTGAAATTATTTTATTTCATTCAATCAGTATCGACACTTCTTGGCAACCACCATCTATGTAAATATTACCGTACTTGGAAGGCCGGCAAACGTCTCTGTCTCTTGTTTCACTGAGCGGGGAATTCACTCAACTACACAAGGTTCGGGCCAGTTCGGGGTTTCCCACGGAAACTTTCCCGTGTTATTCGCTGATTACTCGATTTCTATGGTGATTTGCCGATGTTTGTTTTGCCTTCTGATGTGGTTTATTTGTTCTTAGTGCGTTCAATAGTTCAATGACAAGTATTTTATTGTGTTTCACCTATCGAAAATGATTATTTAGTACTTTGGTTACAAAAATGAAATAACCACCAAATTTTTTAATTTGGTCCAATGTTTTTCAAATCAAAATCCAGCTGAAGCAGAAACAGGTGCAAGAGCAGAAGTAATTTATTACAAAATTGAAAGTTTATCTGAGTCTGCAAAAATACCTTTTGAAAATATAATAGGTTTTGGCTCTGATGGTTGTAACACTATGTTTGGTTCCAAAAATTCAATAGTGAGTAGGTTCAAAGTACATTTTCCTGGTATTATAGTACAAAAATGCATTTATCATTCATTACATCTATGTGCTAGTGAGGCTTGTAAAGTTTTGCCACGCCACTGTGAGGATCTGGCCAGAAATATATATGGCTATTTCAAAAACAGCTCTAAGCGGCAAGCTCAATTTACTGAATTTCAGACATTTTGTAATGTGGAGCCCCACACAATTTTGCGTCCCTCACAAACCAAATGGCTCTCATTACTAATGGTGGTCGAAAGGATTACTGAACAATGGAATCCTCTTCAACTATGTTTTGTACGAGAATGGACCGAACATAGGTTACAAGCATCCGAAATTATTGCCAATAGACTGAATGATGTGGAAACTTTTTTCTTCAATGGGTTTTACCCAAATTTGTTAAATTGAATGGATATTTTCAAAGTGAATCTGTCATAATAACACACGTTTATGATGTAGTTTGCAGCACTTATAAGGACATTTTATCAAGTTATTTAAGACCATCATATATTCAAAAAACTGATTTATCTCAAATAGATCCTTGCAATGATAGTCAGTTTATTGACTTAAAACAAACATATCTTGGTGTTCGCATATTGAAAAACATCATTCAATATGCGAATTCAAAAAATTGAATCAAAAAGAGCAAGAAAATTTTTACATTCGGTGTCGCCAATTTTTAATTACGTCCGCAAATGAAATAAGAAAACGATTCGATTTTAATGATATTTTGTCAAAAATGTTGATATTCGAAAAAGATCAAACGCCAAAACCGACGTCAATTTTTCTAATAATAACTTCGAACTTATGCAAGAAATCGATAATCAGTGGCGACTGTATTGCCAGTCGGAGTTAAATGCAAATGCCAATAATGAAACAGTTATTGACAAATATTGGTACAAAATTTCCCAAATTCGTGATGGATTTAATATGTTCATGTTTAAAGAATTGGGGAATTTTGTATTGGATCTACTAGTAATTTCCTATTCGAATACCGCCTGCGAGTGGCCTGTCAAAGCGTCAACGGCGAATCCTATAATTTTAATGTTAAAGAGGATATGATGAGTTCAATAATCTCGTATAAACACGATAAAGATGAAAATGTTGATGTTGATATTCATTTCGATACCAAATAATTTCGGACTAGATTTACGTTTTTGTGTTTTTTTTTGTTATCTGTTTTTTATTTGATTATACATAAATAGAAATGAGTGCGGCGTTTTTTTTCCAAAACAACAAAACGAAGAAAATTGTAACATAATTTTCAAGACAAATCGATAATTTTGGCAGCTCTGCACGAGAATTTCTTCATCAGCTAGTGACAACACTTCTTGGTAGACACAATATCCTATTTCAAAGTAAATGAGCAATGAGTAAACTCTCCAACGTTTATTCGGTGTGTTCTTTACGGCAATTATTAACGAATTAACTGTGACCTTCATGAAAAATAGTAGTTCCCATGATTGAATTGAACGCTAATTGGTGGGTGTCGAAATAATCATAGA